TGACTTCTATGATCAGGAAAGGGAGCACCTTTACTGGACAAATGGGAAAGACTGATTGTTGTATATTGTACTCCACGGTACCTTCTGCAGAAAAGAACATATTTTCTGCAGACAGGCAAAACAGCTGTGAAAGCAGACCAAAAAAATGTTCTATACTTAATTAGAATGAGGCATGAAAGAACTAAGTATACTTCCTGTCTGAAAAATCAAACAATGAAGTTGTGATTGTTCTTAATTTAGAAGTCATGGTTGTTTGAATAAGTGACCTTTTCAAAAGAACATCTAACCCAAAGCATATAAATTCCTTCAGGTTTTAGATGGGGCTATCTTTTGTCTCCTATGAAACTATTCATCTAGTCACAAGTTTGAAAAATAAAATGAATGGTATTTGAATATGCCATATACTCTTCAATATTCAAAAATAGAAATACAATTTTAATAAGGATATAAGAACTTAGAATTATTAGTGATGTGGCTGGACTTTGACAATAGGGTATGTAATTTTTTTTTTTGAAGGGGAATAGAAAGGGAATAAGAAGGCCTGTGCTTTTGAAAATAATGTTAATGGTTATTTGTTAAGGAAGTTGACATTTGGATAAAGTATAGATCTTTCTGGTTAACCGAAATAATCATATTATTGTAATAAACACACACATATGTGAGAAAAGGCTCCTGTGTGGTTGCAATGGCAGTTTAATATCTCCCAAAGTCTTAAAGATGGATTTCACAGCATTAATATGAAACTATGTAAAACATATAGCTTGGTTTTTCCTGCTTTTTTTACTTAAAACTACTTTTGAACCTGCAAAACGATAGGTCTGTTCTAGGTATTGTAATGTAATTAGATAAAATACACATATAGTCATATGTATCTATATATATAAACTTAAAAATGCTGTGGATATATTTATAATTCTACCATTCCTTATGGAAATTACCATTGTATAAAATTTTTTCTAGATTAAATTTTCACTGTTAGAGATCACCATAAAGTTACACAATCCACCTAAAATGGTAAATGATGGAAAGTAGAAATTGGTAATGCATATTTAATAGACACATTCAAAAAACTTTAAGGAGGTGGTGTTGTTAGTACATTACTGAGATGATATTCCAAAGAAAGAATTACAAATCTTACCTTCCTTGAGCCTAATTCCTTGTCAAGTTTTGATGGTCTCCTAAATGCTGCAAACATTGAGTAAGACACATTCCTTTAAACAGTCTGAAATATACAACTGGCATATAAACTATATACATAGACGCTAAAATAGAAGTGCACTGTGATGCAGAGAATGAAAGAGTGTGCCAGTGCTGTAGAGTGCAGAGAGCAAAGGGACTTCGTTCTGGCAGAGGAAACCTATAGTGGTCTTTTAGTTGGGCTTTTAAGATGGGAAATATTTATCAGTTTCTAAGGGAGAGTCCCAGTACAGATGCCAATAGGGAGATTTGATTTAATAGATGGCTAGAAACATGAGTCTTTAGAAATACGGTTTTTAGACACAATCAAGGGTTTGCAAGTATTGGTGGCATCAACTACTGAAAAATCAGACCCTCTTCCCTAGTTAATAGCTCAAGCGTGCTCAAAAAATAATAGAAGCTTCTTTGGAGAATCTTTGGGTAATGACAAGTATTCTGCATTTACTAAAGCCTGTACTGATTGACACTGAGGTCATTTCGGAGCTACTGCCTCACTCTGACTTCTATGATCAGGAAAGGGAGCACCTTTACTGGACAAATGGGAAAGACTGATTGTTGTATATTGTACTCCACGGTACCTTCTGCAGAAAAGAACATATTTTCTGCAGACAGGCAAAACAGCTGTGAAAGCAGACCAAAAAAATGTTCTATACTTAATTAGAATGAGGCATGAAAGAACTAAGTATACTTCCTGTCTGAAAAATCAAACAATGAAGTTGTGATTGTTCTTAATTTAGAAGTCATGGTTGTTTGAATAAGTGACCTTTTCAAAAGAACATCTAACCCAAAGCATATAAATTCCTTCAGGTTTTAGATGGGGTTATCTTTTGTCTCCTATGAAACTATTCATCTAGTCACAAGTTTGAAAAATAAAATGAATGGTATTTGAATATGCCATATACTCTTCAATATTCAAAAATAGAAATACAATTTTAATAAGGATATAAGAACTTAGAATTTCATAATATTCAAACTCCATCTTAAGTAACAAAAAACTGTTGCTCAGCAGATGTTTTCTTTATGCAATCACTTCTGGTCTGGATTTCTCTGTTAGATCTCTTAGTAGATCTTGGAATATTAGCATAGAGATAAATTTCAGCAGTAACACAGCTGGGTCCCTTGGTTTCCAGGGATTTGGAACTTACAATATTTGGTTTCTTTCTGTATTATCATTATTTTTCTTACCCATTTTTGTTATCTGTTTATGATGTCTCTAGTTCTAGTCCAAGGATTTTCACAGCCTTGCTAACCTCAGAAAAATGAGTACACAGTGTCCATAAAGAAGAACATCTCCATATAATTTGCATACCCTTATGGGGTCCTTTCAGAACATTAGGATGAGAATCACTAGGACTTAACATGCCATAATTCTCTTAGGCAGGTCAACATTAATGAAACTAATGTACATTTTACTCAAGTTGCCATAATTTTCATATCTATGTTTGTTTATATATTGTTGATAAAAGCTTAATTTATTGGTAGAACCTGTTGGTTTAGAATATACATAGCTATCAATATAAATATGTTGCTAGTTTTTAGTGTAGCTCTCAGCATATCGTAGTCACTCAGAGATCGTGTCATCTATTGTCAGATGTCCACAGCTATGTCAGTATACGATTTAGTGCATATAGCACAATAGGGTCTCTCTCTGTAGGATAAACATACTTTTATATAACAGAAAAGAAGAAAATGAAAATCAAGTAGGTTAAATTACAGAGCGAAAACCCACAATGGTTCAAGTACTTTTAACTCCAGGATGGTGTCAGGGGCGGTAATAGCATTAGCAATCCTTAGAGTCTGATATGCTTGCTGCAGCTATGGGTAAAATTTGGTTCTATCGTTGACTTTACAGCATTATTTTTCTCTCATCTTTTTTACTTACAACTTCCAATTTACTCTTTCACTCTGCACTTTAAAATTAGATACATACCACATTTTCAGTCTATTTATTTTCCATTGAAAAGAAGATATGTAGTATTAAAACACCAAACTCATTATGAATCCCTATTAAAATCAGTACTCTAATTGATAGCTCTTGAGGCAAAATAATTTACATTGTTATTTTCTTTTCAAAAAGGACATATCTTTGCATTCTTTTCCCTCATCATTTTAAAATATAGAATTAAATTTGTCTTGTTCTTCTCTTTTGTATCAGTAATTATTCATGTAAAAAATCATATTAGAAAACAGTTGCTGACTTCCCTTGAGAAAGTAAAAACACGCAGCAGTAAATAAATTCACTCACCTGGGACCAGATATTTAACTTTAGGTAAGTATTTGAAAAGATTCATAAAGAGCCAGAAAGAACTGTTTGAAGTGAAAAAAAAAATCCGTTACTAGTACCCAGTGATAGTTTCAAATTTTGATTAAATAATAATTTGCTTTTATAGCAAAATAAAGTACATTCTTTTAATGTTGTGAATTACTTGTACAGAAAAAGATGGAAGCTGCCCAACTTTTTCCACTTTTATGCTATTTGGAGCTATTTTGCTTTTTACAGAAACAGCTGTATGACTATGGTAATCTGTGACATTTAGTTATGATATGACAATAAGAAATTGTGACTATTTTGGCTTATTGATTCTTAGTTCAAATGCCAAAATATATAAAGTTTATTCTATGTGCAAAATTCTAGATAAATGTCTGCACCCAGTGTATAGACAGATAGCCATAGCCTTTAAGCTAGTAGGGAAAACTTCTATGACAGGGTAAGACTCATTTGGGTTGTGGAATGTATGAGCTGAGTAAATTTGCTTTTGACAGTAATTATCCAGAGGTAAAAAGTGTTTTGTTTTAAAGGCATAATAAAAAGTAATCAGTTTGGGGGTTTGTTTTTGTGTCACCAATTTATTATTATTCTTGCTAAATCATGAATTGCTTAGCAAATCTTTGATGAATGAAAATATGGAAAAAATTATCTAAATTATGTAAGGAAAAAAAATAGTAAGAGACAAGTTGCTTTCTGGCACCTAAATGCTTAGGCTTTTTTCATAATAACATTTGGTGAGAAGATAAAATTTCAGTTATTTATAGGGCAATACTATTGTAAATCCATTTAAAAATAGGGTTGTATCCCATAACAGTTCCAAGAACATACTAATTCTAATGTTGGTTCAGTCAAATCTATCAGACACTTTCTAACTTGAGCAGAAAAGCATCCTAAAACTTGGCCCCAAATCCAATTCCTCTGTGGGCTTGTAAACATCACAACTACAGTAATTGCTGTAATTACCATTATTTAGGGTAGCCTTTGGGATGCTTTATCAACATATATGCATTCCAATGCTAAACTTGTTAAAAAGTCTGTATAATTCTTTCGAGAAATGCATTAATAACAATAAAAAATTAAAATCTGAAGGGTTTTTTTTCAGTTTTAACTCTTGCAAATGTAAGACACTGTTCAGATTTATTTTTCCAATACAACTCCAAATTAGATGGAGAATTAAATATAGAATTAATATTCTGGAGTCAATCTTAAACCTTCTTAATGGTTATTTGTAAACTTTAAAACTTCATAAGTATAATCATACATATACATAGACATAAAATCAGTCTGCAACTTCCTGATGACTAATACTAATACTGTATTTTTGCCTATTTTCTACTCACTCTTGGATGATAAAACTCCTTCAGTGGATGGAAAACACACTCAGTTCAGTACTTAGAATAGTTTACCTGCTGTTTTCCTTTCCTTCCTTCCTTACCTGATACTTTGATTTCAGTTTCTCTTCTTATTCGAACCGTTGGTATCTGACACAAGCTTGGACTGAGAGACAGTGATGTGGGTAATTGCTGTTCTTACCTTATTTACTCCAAAATGGCCAGGCAGGCTTAGAGTTTGAGCTTTTCCTCTTAAGAGGAACGTGTGGTCTCATCAGGCGCTGTATTTGGGGACCTCGCTTGGCTTGGGCAAAGCGTTGCTCACTGGCGTGGTGATTCACTGCCTCTGCAGCTCCACAGCTCGGAAATTCACTGGCAGCTCCCAGCTTCTCAGGCTCTCTTGCTCCTTGAAGTGGCCCGTTTGGGAAGGCTCTGAGGTAATCCTGGTGCTGGCTCTCGCTCGTGGGATGCGGCTCTTTTGGATTAGAGACAACCATGCAATCTTTGATTCTGAACAAAGTTTGGAAGACAAGCCAAACCTATGAAAACAGCGACTCCCTTCTAGAATGCAGCCAGAGCAAGCAAGCTGCTGTTCCCCTCCCTCTAGACGTCCATACGTGAGTCACTCCTCTCTACCCACTAAGGTTGGGATTCGTGTCAAGTTCTTTGGATGTCCAGTTGAAGTCTAACTGAAACTGGAAGTGAGAGATAGCTCTTAGCCATTCTTCTACCCTGGGAGTAGGGAGGGTGCTAAAAACATAACAGTTATCCCCAGAAAGTCTTCGGAGACTCACCCGGATCTCCAGCAATTCTGTGAGAATGAGTTTCCAAAATGCTTCCAAGTCCCCAACGTGTCTTAGCTAACTCTCTTTGGAACGTAACATCCATTGTCTTCACTCCCCAGTTGAGCAGGGAAGGATCCTCCTCTAACACTCTTTGTAACACTAGTGTACTACGATAACAGCACAGAGGAAGAATGCTGATGCTCGTGGGGTTCTGAGTCCTCAGGGGGCCCTGATCTTCCAAGCAAGCCTTTGGGTACCACCCTCTGCTCCAGTCTGTGCTCCCTGCCTTGTCGTCGAAAGCAAGGTGTCCTGGACTGGGGCGTCTGCTGCTCTGCCATTCCTCTTGTCGTGTCTGCGGCTTCCCACAGAGTTTTCGAAAATTTCAGAAAATCTACATGAAATCCATAGGAAATTAGTGGAACAGGTTTGGCTACTTATATTTTCTTGGTAGAAAATCTATTATGTAACATCTCTGTTCATATCTCATCACTTGATGTACTTAACACAAGAACTCAAAACTAACCGATTTAAGATGAGATGTTTTCTGCTTAAGGACATTTATATTTGAATTAAAAGCTAAACATTTAATTCTTAAGACCTCAAATTTCAGTATTTAGCTGGAAAAAAACAAGAATTACTGGGAAATATGTGTCATGTCAATCTCTCAAAATGAGTCTCTCAGTTATTACATAATAACATTTGTGTACCAAAGCGATCATCAAGGTGTTATGTGCACATGACACGCACCTTCTTATTTAACATTAAGAAGTCATTAATTAAATTTTGTTAAAATGATATGAAAACAATTCTATGATATATAACTAAAAGAAAAAATAGAAAGGTGGCTAGTGAATGCTAGTTATCTCTTAGTCAAAGAATTATTTCATTTTTTGTTTCCAATTTCATCTTTATTTTCTAATTTTGCTGACATAATCTTAGATCTGAAAATCAAAAATGAACTAGAATCATGTAACCTTTCCAATCACTATCTTACATATTATGTAGATAATTGAAAGCTTAATAATGCTTTATTTTTGCAGGTCAGACTCTGCAAAAGTTCCTATATTATAATAAGGATTTTAGTATTATATACTAATTATTGGCATTGATTAGTCATTGGTATAGTGACTGAGTCATTGTCTCTAAAAGGAATATATTTTCACCTAAATGGGACAAAAAAAAATCTCTGCAGAGAGTACATTACTCATCTACATGGGGAGGAGGTGGAATTGATGATTCTTGCCAGCTTTAAAGAGATGATTAAGAGAGACAATGTTTTATTACCACTAATTATATCAGTAAGCAGATTGATGCACAGGTCAATAGGAAAACTTCACTCCTTTCACATTAAAAGACATTAATTTATGATACATTAAACATTTGTTAATAAAATGATTAATGTAAATATTGAAAAAAGGCTCATTTGTTAAGTTTTAATAAAGTTTTGGACAATGAAAAGAAACTGATATTTAATTTTCACGCCTTTGTAGGATTTCATTCCCCAGAATTAATGGAAATTGATCATTAGACAGGTGAAGGAAATTCCCCAGTGTTCCTCAGGAAAGTTATATATTCCTTTGAAAAATAGAACTTGGCTATTCATTTGATTTAGCAAGTGAAATAACATTATTTCAACATGAAACTGTGTCCTGTGGCTTTCCTTTGGTGAATATTAATGTTCAATATTTATTTTCCTTTATAAAACCATTGTGCAGAAGGAAGCTTTGGAACTTCACACGCTCATATTTATGTAAGTCTAAATAAATGATTTCCAAAAAGAGAAAAAAAAAGACTTTTCTAATATAGCATTTTTCAGTGTATAAGTTGTTCAAATATTGGCTTCTTTCTGAAACTATTTAACTTACTATCTTCTGAGAAACTTTCTGTAAAAGAGCAAAAGAAAACTTCAGTGCAATTTACTGAAAGTAAAAAATGGCCAATTTTAAGTAACCAGAAAATGTGAAAAAAAAGTAAGTGAAGAATCTTAAATGAATGATGTATCAATAACAAAATGATCATTAATGAGCCTTAAGAAAAGTACAGAATTTTGAGAAATGGTTTCAGTACTTTCCAATATTTTCTGTACCTACTTTTAATCAAAATAGAAAACTTAATGAAAAACAAAATGTATTCATTGGTAAAGAAAGATCAAGGGGTAAGGCAAATCAGAGACATCTTTTTCTCATCCATTTTGCAGCCAACAATAGAGTTACTATTATTGATTTACATGGAGATTTTGGAGGGAAAATAATAATGGCTAAGTGGAAAATTTCTCTAAACCATTCAAGTTCAACTGGGAAATCTATATTAATAATGGAAAACATTATATGATCAAATAGTACATAAAATACAAGATAAAATGGTATATATATGTCTATATTTTAAGTACATTCATGTATACGTGTGCAAGCGTACACTGTCATGAAAGTTATCATTGTAAGTATTGTACATGGTGTGAGAATCCATCTAAAAACATTTGTTGATGCTTTGCTGTAAGTACTTCATTTGTAATCAGATATTTCCTTTCCCAAACTTATAGCTTTAATATAATAAATGCACAAAAGGGGGAAGGAAAGAAAAATGCTTATCTTTAAGGGAAAGAGCAGCAAAACTTCTCTGCCCTTCCTCCAAGGCTTTCTCTGCAGGTTCTTGGGCTGCCATGGAGCTTGGAGCTGTTTTATAACATCCGATTTATATTTGGTTTCTCGTGCTCCACAAGTGCATTATAACTAGAACTGGAGCCAGAATCTTATTAATGGAGATGCTATACAGTGAAATGTCAACATGGGGCATTTGTGTTTTACTTTTATTGCTTTAATAGATAGTACATTTTGTGACAACATGGCCTATTTGAATAATGTGACATTTGGGGGAGTTTTAAAATTGATTTTATTCAATTGATATTAATGTTGGGTTAAGACCTGACATAATAAAGAAAATAGAAGTTATTCTCTATTGGTCTTTTAGAGTGAAGGAATTTGGGCCAGGAAGTCACTAGAGTTGGAAAAGAGCTCTATATTTAGCATCAAGCCAGGTACTTTAGCCATGTATTTTCAGAGCATATTTAATATGTTCATTTGAACAGAATGATTGACAGATGTCAATCAAATACAGTTTAGGCAGTAGCAAGTCATGGATTCAGACAAACGCATCCTAATGGAAAGGAACTGTAATCTATAACCTTAAAAATGATCATAATATATATTGTTTTATTCAAACACATTCAAGCAGTATAAAATTTCAAGTTAATAGAATGATATAAATATGCTTTCTGCCAAGCCTTGAGGAAAAGAAAATATGGGTTAAAGAATTAAGAATTAGTCCCTATTATCACTTTTTCATCATGTGAATAAGTACACTAAGCCCTAAATAAAGGTTTTCTTGTCTTCTTTTCCCAGATTTCCTCTCTGTCCTACCATTTCCATGCTCTTTAGCTATCAGTGGGGATCCAGTATTTTATGCCCTTTCATAAGGATGCAATACCTTGGTTTGAAATTTTATATCTGAGAGAATAGCCATTTTAACTTCTGAAGTAGCTCAAGATCTCTCTCCATTATACAGAAAAGTGAAAACTAGAGACAATATTAAGAGAAGCAACCGAATAAAAAGAAACAAACTTATAATGTAAGTCATGTGAAATAAACATAGCACTTGGATATTTAAAATATTTGCTAAAGTAGAAATACAGGCTGTTTGCAGCACAGAGGATGTGACCTCTAGTTCCCCCAACACGCTTCACACAGTGCAGCCTTGTTTCCCATTCAGCTGGGAAGGTCATCCTAACATCAGAGGTCATACATTTTCTTTCCTTCCTTTTCTCCAAAACAGTACTGCTTTGTATAATTTTTCCTCTCTTGTTTTCTATTTGAGAAGAAAGGTTTTGCTTTCCAAAGATTATTCCCTTCTTAAGTCATTTCTGTTTCTTTGTTGCCTTCTTCCCTGAAGTATGACATTTAGAGGATGGAGAATAGGGAACTGATCTTTGAAGTCAATTAAATAATACTTATGTGTGATATTGGGAATATCACAAACTTTAAGGAGTCTCTTTGCTGGCTTCATGAGGCAAGTGACCATGTTGGCTAAAAATTGCAGGTGGCCTTTCTAGAGGGGAGCACAGTCCCTAGGCTCTCCTGTGCTCTAATCCTTCAGGTGCCCTGTTGATCTCCTTTGTTTTCTGCTATGTACATAACCCATAGTTCCATGATCAATGCTGTTTTATCTACCCTTACTCTAGTTTTTTGTTTTTTGTTTTTGGTAGGGGAGAATGGTGTTACACCTAATTTTATTGTAAATGTTTTCATGGTTCTTTGGGTTTGCTATTGAACTGCTGTACATACTTACACAGTATCCAAACATACAAGATTGCAAAATCATGTCAGTTAATTTTGAAGGATAGAACATATATGAATATTGTGTAATTAAGCTAGAAATTAGTAACAAAAACTGAGTAGGAAAAATCTGTATCATTGGGAATTAAGCTATATGCTTCTAAATATCCTGTAGGTCAAAGCACAAGTCAGAAAGAAAAATAGATCACATTTAGAATTGAAAGACAGTGAAAACATGGCATAACAAATTTATAGGATGCAACTATAGCTGTGCTCAGGGGAAAATGTGTAGCTTTAAATGCATATATTAGAAAAGAGGAAAAGCTGAGAATCAGTCTGCATCTATATTGATAAAAATTTTAAAAATAGCTTCAAGTTAAACTCAAAGAAACAAGCTAAATAATAAAAGCAGTAATTTCTAAAATAGAAACATGTTCAATTGAAAGAAAAATAAACGTAGAAAAAGCAAGATAAAACTGATGAGCCACGGGCAAGAACAAATGAGAAATAAAGAGAAGGTACAAATTATCATCAACAAAAATGTGGACGTTATTGTATATCTTAGAATAAATTGCCCATAAGAGAATAACATGACCCCTTTTTTGCCAATAAATTGAGAATTTTGATGAAATGAAAAAATTGCTATAAAAACATAACATAGCAAACTTAAAATAGTACATTTGAATAGGGCATACTCTGTAACTGAAATTGAATCTTTAATTGAACAAAATAAAACTTCCCATGGAAGGCTTAGTGCCTTCAACACTGAATTCTTCCAAATACTTAAAGAAACCAACCGAAGACCAATTCTTCAAAGAAAACATCCAACTTTTTAAAAAACAAGGACACCATAAACTTGATACCAGAAGTCAACATCTTTTTACATAACGGTTAAAATCTGAAGGTTTCCTACTGAAATCCGGAACAAACCAGAACAACCTGCCGTTTTGTCGTGGATCTCAGTGCTGACTACACTGTTCCACAGTTTCAGTAGTTCACTTTCCTGTACATACATTATACTTCAGTTTTA